TTCAGCAGGTAAACCTGTGAGACCACAGATATTCAGGCCACAGCCAGATAACGTACAGTAAAGTGTACCAATCTTAATCTTGTGATTGCTTGTATGTGCTGTCACTCATGTAAGCTCCAGCCAGACTAAAATACAGGCTGTTTCTAGCGCCTGTTCTAGGTACCTGGTGTCCTTTTCCAGACTGTAGTCCACTCCTGTCTTGGCCCATTAGTCCGTTCCTGCCAATATAGCAAAATACATTAGACTGGGTAACTTATGAGTAACAAATTTTCTTGCTCACAGTCCTAAAGGCTGGGAAGCACAGGATCAGGGAGCCAGCAGGTTCCGTGTCTGGTCAGGGCTCTGCGTTGTAGCTGGTGCCTTGCTGTTGCACCTGCACAGGGCGGAAGTGACGGAAGACTCTCTTTAGCCTTTTATGTGAGGGTACTGATCCCATTACCAGTCATCTCCTAAAGGCCTGGCCTACTCTTAATACCACCATAGCGAGGATTAGGTTTCACCATGAATTTCGGAGGGTCACACGTTCAGTCCGTATTACAGTCCCACTGACAGCTGCCCCATATTCCGACTCCCGTTGTACTTCGTGGAAATGGAATCCTTCGTTGCACACTCTCCGTGTCTGGCTTGTCCCACTCCATGCACTGTCTGTGAGACTCCTCATTGTGTGTGCTGTTCGTGTTTTCTTTTCATATAGGTAATTTTTAAAAGAATTATTTTATTTAACTTTATTTTATTCTATTTATTTATTTATTTATTTATTTTAATTTGACCAGAGACAGAATGGGGGGGGGGTTATAAGGAAGCAAGCCTCCAGGTCCAGGACTCAAAACTGCGGTTGACCATGTGGGAGTCCAAACCACCACGCTACCCGCTGGTCCCTTAGTTTGTTCTTTTTAATTGGTGTTAGTTTTCCATTGGAAGAAGATATAATTTTTTTCATTTTCTTGTTGGTGGGCATATGGATTGCTTCCACGTTTTGGCTATTAGGAGTAAAACTGCTATGAATATTTGTCTTTTTGTGGACCTGTGTCCTGAGAAGGCAGACATTCTGAGTTATAGTGTTGGCATATATGTAGATGTAGTAGAAATGGCCAAATGGTCTTCTAAAGTGGTCGTACCATTTTACACCCCACCATCAATATATGTAACTTTCAGCCTGTGGAGCCAGGAGTGTTTTGAGATTCTTTTTCCCAGCCTGAGTTTAACTTACTAAGAAGCTTCTTTTTAATTTAAACATTTCTGATGGAATAAAAGCAGTTTTGTGTAAGGAATTATGATGTGCAAATACTTCTGTGTTGATTTGTTAGAGAGTATGCTCACCAGAGAAACATTGAGAGGGAGAGTAAGAACACTCTGAGGGGCTGGTCACGCCACACCCTCCTCCTCAATCCCGCCCCTCTCGGAATTCTGGGCACAGACACAGTAAGTGTGTATTTCAGACTGCTGGGTCTGGGACTCAACCCATACAGTCAGCCACATGGGGTCCAGCCACCTAACTACCATGCAACCAACTGGCCCTTAGAAGTAACTTTTATACTGTAATGCTATATACAGATAGACACACACACACACACACACACACACACACACACACACACACACGTAACTTTGAACTTGAACCTGGTACTCTTTTTTTTCTTTTTTTGAGAGCAAATTTTGCTATAGGGTGTGTATACTCGCCAGAGAAAGACAGAGAAACAAAAAGTGAGAAATCATTCCCCAGGAGGATAGACTTGGTGCAGTTGCTTCTCTTCCATTCTCTTCCTGGGATTTGGGACTTGAACCTCGGTTGCCTACACGGGAGTCCATTGACATAACATACGTCATCTGCTAGTCCCAAACCTGATACTCTCTTAAGATGTATTTTCTGTTGGTGGGTAAGAAATTGCCACCAAGTCTTTGACTGACAGTAGCACCCATTTCTAGCCTCACACTTCAGTAGGTCTGAAGTCCTTGCCTGGTGTACTTAGGATCTCTGTTCAGGGTCTAATAGGCTGAAATCAGGGTGCTGGCCAGGACTGCGAGCTCCTCTGAGGCTCAGGGCCCTGCCCTCTTCCAGCTCACTTACTGTGTTGGCAGAAATCAGTTAGTTGTGGCTGTGGGACTCAGGCTCTTGGACCCTAGAGGGCCTTCATAGTCCCTTCCTTACTGCTCTCTCCACAGGCTATGGTTTGCTTCTTTAAGGCCAGCAGGAGGGCATTGGCTATATCTTCCAATCTTTCTTTTTTTCCACAGGCTATGGTTTGCTTCTTTAAGGCCAGAGGAGGGCATTGGCTATATCTTCTGATCTTTCTTTTTTAAAAAATTTATTTATTTGCTAGAGAGCACATATGCTTTGTTAGAGACTGAGGGAAATTGAGAAAGGACCTTCCCTGGGGGATGGTCATGCCACTGTCCCTTCTCATCCATTCTTCTTTGGGGATTTTGGGCATAACATGCACATGTGCTGGGCAAGTTTCTCAAGCCACTGGGTTTGAAATTCGTACCATGCAGTTTGCCACATGGGATCCAACTGTCTTAACCACCATGCCACCTGCTGGTCCCCCAGTTTTTGAAGCTTATTGATTCATTCTGTATGCACCTGCAGCAGAGTCTTGATGCAGTGATCTACACTGTAGCCTCAGCAAGCCCCAGACCACAGGTTCACCTGGGCCTGGCATACTCGGGGGGGATCAGAGCATAAACCTGGAACCTTCCCACCTGGGTCAGCCTCTCAGAGTGCTGCATGTGACCACTGCAGCACCATCTGGCCCCCTTTATGACTTCTTCCAACTCTGAAAAAGGGTTGTACTATGTAGGCCCGGCCCATCTGTACCCCAGGGAGGGAATTACACAGGGTGGGCACTGCAGGGGGTGGGGCTTTAGAACTCTGCCTACAGCAAAAGGCAGGACATTATGATTCACAGACAGTGGCCTGGCTAGTTGAAACAAGCTTTTTGTGATTATCCATTCTGCATTATTGTTTTTAGTTAATGCTGTATTTACAGAATTTATCTTTTTTCTTTTTTGGGGAAGAGGTTTTTGCTATAGGGCGCATGTGCTTGCCAGGAAGACAGAGAGAGAAAGAGAGAGAGACAGAAAGCCAGAAATCACCCCCCAGGGAGGATGGCCACGCCACAATCCCTTCTTCTCCACTCTCCTCTCAGGATATTGGGCATCCACACACATGCACCTGGCAAGAGTTTAAGCCACAGGGTCTGGGACTCGAGCTGCGATCCACTACATGGGAGTCCAGCGACATAGCCATTACGCTAACTGCTGGTCCCCAGAATTTATCATTTTTAATATAGTACTGAGTGCATGCTGTGGAGTGACCAGGATATGATACTGCCAGGGCTAACACCAAGATCGTCCCAGGCAAACCAAGATGGTCAGCCATTCTTCCGCCCAGTGCCGAACTCGGTATCAGGCATCACCCAGCCAGTTGCCTCACGTGGTTCCCAGCAGACTTGGGACTCAGTTCGCTTTACAGGTGAGAAACTCGGGTGTTATACAAGTTGTCTAAATGTATGCGATTCTTATGGAGGAGAGCTAGAACTTGAATCCTAGGCTCTACCATTCTACTTCAACTTATATTTCTTTTCTTTTCTTTTTTTTTTGGAGAGGTTTTTGCTATAGGACACGTGTGCTAGCCAGAAAGACAGGGAGACAGAGAAACGGAAGAAATGAAATCACCCCCGGGGGAGATGGCCACACTGCAGTCCCTTCTCCTCTCGGGATCTTGGGCATGCATGCACACGCACCCGACGTGAATTTAAGCCTCCGGGTCCGGGACTTTAACCACAGTTGACTACATGAGAGTCCAGTGACATAGCCATCACGCCAACTGCCGGTCCTGTTTTCTTAAAACTTTTATTTAGTGCAGGCCCACAGTCCTTTATCAACAGTTGTGAATTTTTTTTCTAAGGATTTTTAAATTTGTTACATGTCTCAGAGAAACAGAGTGAGTGAGGACGTGCACACACCCAGCTGTCCTCCTCCGGCCCCAGCCAGCCCTGGGTCGTGGGCATGTACGTGCCCAGTGCACGCAGGGAGGCGTCTGGACATGAGCCTGGGCCATGTGGGCCAGTGTCGTAGAGCGTTGTGCTCCACCTCTGCACCACCATCTGGCCCCCCCAAGTTGGGAAATCTGAAGGCTCTGAAGGTGGAAAGTTTGCGTGTAACTGATGTAATGGCAAGACCTGATGTGAGCTGATGTGGAGCCACTTATTGCTGTTATTCCATGCTTTCACTTATAGAAATG